TCAATATTTCGTGGCGAATCCTTTGTTGTCGATCACAACCTTGCATTTTCAAGGCATAGATTTAATCAGGTGATCAATGAAACTTTGTGGAATTGCTGCCCAGGCCTTTTGGATTTGTTCAAACTGTTGAACCTAATTACGAACACCTTCACAATTAATTCTGCGGTTGACGATCTCCCACATGTTCTCAATAGGGTTGAGATCCGGAGATTGAGGCGACCAATCCATCACCAATAGGTGGTTGTCTTGAAACCACTGCTTGACTACTTTTGCAGTGTGTTTCGGATCATTGTCTTGCTGAAAAACCCATTTTATTGACATATTCCATTCAGCATGAGGTAACATAACATCTTTCAGGATATTTTTATACATGAAACGTATAATTCCATTGATTCGATGTATTGGATCTAGACCGTTAGCAGAAAAACACCCCCAGACTATTACATTGCCTCCACCATGCTTCACGGTCTTATGGCAGTAACATAAATAGAGGCATTTTCCAGCTGGTCAACGTACACGGCAAATGCCATCGCTCCCAATGATGTTGAACTTTGATTCATCGCTGAAAAGGACAGTTTACAATTTCTGCACATTCCAGTCAATATAAGATGTAGCAAACAGGAGTCTTTTCTTCTGGTTCTTTAGTAAAATCAGTGGTTTCTTTGCAGGGCGTCGAGAAAACAATCCGGTTTCAACAGCACGTTGTCTGATTTTTCGGTCCGATACAGGCAGCTTTAATTGCTTTTGTATCTCGACTGATGATATCCAGGGATCCTTCTTGAAGGATCTGATGATCATAGAATCCTCTCTAGAAGTGGTGGAACGCGGTCTTCCACCTTTGTTATCTGCTGCCAACTTCCCCGTAGAACGATATTTGTAACATAGTGTTGATACAGTCCATTTTTTCACGCAATATTTATCACAAATACTATTTTGTGACATTCCACTTACGTAATCGCCAATAATTTTCTTAAAAATTATTCTAGATGCTTCTTTTCGATGCTTCTGGATGCGTCTGGATGCTTCTGAATGTTTCTGGATACTTATGGATACTTCTGGATGCTTTTTCTGGATACTTCTTGAAACTTCTGCATGCTTCTGGAAACTTCTGAAAACTTCTGGATACTTCCTTTAATTATTAAAAAACTTCAGTGACGTTGACATGGATTAGACTTGAGAAAATAAAACAAACCAAAAAAGTTGCACTTGTTTTGTCCGCTGCAAAATGGCACTTGTCAACGAAATTCTGCCTATGTGCTGTCACCTGTCAGCTGATTGCTTATTTCATGGCATGCTGTTTGCTGTGGTAGTTAAGTTCGTTTCGTTTTTAAGACATGTAAAATTAGGAACACTTTTTAGCATTGTTCGATGTTGGCTGCAAATATTTAGTTCAATACTGTATATCCATTAACATTTAAATAAATGTTATTAATATTATCCATTAACTTTTTAAGTTAATGGATAATATTAATTATAAAAAAATTTTTATTAACAAAGACAAAACAGAAAATGAAAGATTGTTTGACAGTGAACTCAAAAAAATTCGAAACATTAAAATTGCAGCTCTTACTTACAAAATTAAGGGAACAAACAGGAGGCTATGGTACAATGTGAATCATAGAAAAAAATTTGGGTAAACAATCAGATGAGCACAAATGGATCGAAACTAAATCTGCTTAAATTAAATAAAAAATTTAAAGTTAATATCTCACCAAAGAAGCGCTAACACAATTGCTAGTGGCATTGGTAACTCTTAACTTGACTATTCTAGCAGTCTATCAAAGTTTCAGATTTATTAGGTTCCTACAAAAAAAATCTTAAAAAACTCCAACATAATCAAAATAGCTTATCTTGCATCGTCTCTCATTGGTTAATCTGTTCATTGGTTACTAATCCATCAAAGAAGAATTTGTAAGATATCAGTTATTAAAACTTTATCAATCAAATCTCTTGCATATCTATTCAAACTTCTAGAAACCCAAATTTCAAACAAAACACAAGATCATCAGCCAACTTGCTAACTTACAATTGAAAACTTCCCGACGCTTTCGTGAACTGATACTAAACTTTCTCAGTGCTTCTGAATTACTTTATCACTAATATATATAAATGTATATATATATATATATATATATATATATATATATATATATATATATATATATATATATATATATATATATATATATATATATATATAGTATATATATATATATATATATATATATATATATATATATATATATATATATATATATATATATATATATATATATATATATATATATATATATATATATATATATATATATTACGGTTATAACTATTTTAATTTTTTTTGTAATGAAACTGAAATCTATCACATTTAAGGATCAATTATATGCAGATGACAGTAGCAACGTTACCTTTTTTTAAAATTGAAAAAAGTTCCCCCACCTTTCATTTTTTATTTTTTTTTATATCGCTCAATGAGGTACTTTCACGAATAAACAATACCATG